CCCCCCCCCCCCCCCCCCCCCCCCCCCCCCCCCCCCCCCCCCCCCCCCCCCCCCCCCCCCCCCCCCCCCCCCCCCCCCCCCCCCCCCCACCCCCCCCCCCCCCCCCCCCCCCCCCCCCCCCCCCCCCCCCCCCCCCCCCCCCCCCCCCCCCCCCCCCCCCCCCCCCCCCCCCCCCCCCCCCCCCCCCCCCCCCCCCCCCCCCCCCCCCCCCCCCCCCCCCCCCCCCCCCCCCCCCCCCCCCCCCCCCCCCCCCCCCCCCCCCCCCCCCCCCCCCCCCCCCCCCCCCCCCCCCCCCCCCCCCCCCCCCCCCCCCCCCCCCCCCCCCCCCCCCCCCCCCCCCCCCCCCCCCCCCCCCCCCCCCCCCCCCCCCCCCCCCCCCCCCCCCCCCCCCCCCCCCCCCCCCCCCCCCCCCCCCCCCCCCCCCCCCCCCCCCCCCCCCCCCCCCCCCCCCCCCCCCCCCCCCCCCCCCCCCCCCCCCCCCCCCCCCCCCCCCCCCCCCCCCCCCCCCCCCCCCCCCACCCCCCCCCCCCCCCCCCCCCCCCCCCCCCCCCCCCCCCCCCCCCCCCCCCCCCCCCCCCCCCCCCCCCCCCCCCCCCCCCCCCCCCCCCCCCCCCCCCCCCCCCCCCCCCCCCCCCCCCCCCCCCCCCCCCCCCCCCCCCCCCCCCCCCCCCCCCCCCCCCCCCCCCCCCCCCCCCCCCCCCCCCCCCCCCCCCCCCCCCCCCCCCCCCCCCCCCCCCCCCCCCCCCCCCCCCCCCCCCCCCCCCCCCCCCCCCCCCCCCCCCCCCCCCCCCCCCCCCCCCCCCCCCCCCCCCCCCCCCCCCCCCCCCCCCCCCCCCCCCCCCCCCCCCCCCCCCCCCCCCCCCCCCCCCCCCCCCCCCCCCCCCCCCCCCCCCCCCCCCCCCCCCCCCCCCCCCCCCCCCCCCCCCCCCCCCCCCCCCCCCCCCCCCCCCCCCCCCCCCCCCCCCCCCACCCCCCCCCCCCCCCCCCCCCCCCCCCCCCCCCCCCCCCCCCCCCCCCCCCCCCCCCCCCCCCCCCCCCCCCCCCCCCCCCCCCCCCCCCCCCCCCCCCCCCCCCCCCCCCCCCCCCCCCCCCCCCCCCCCCCCCCCCCCCCCCCCCCCCCCCCCCCCCCCCCCCCCCCCCCCCCCCCCCCCCCCCCCCCCCCCCCCCCCCCCCCCCCCCCCCCCCCCCCCCCCCCCCCCCCCCCCCCCCCCCCCCCCCCCCCCCCCCCCCCCCCCCCCCCCCCCCCCCCCCCCCCCCCCCCCCCCCCCCCCCCCCCCCCCCCCCCCCCCCCCCCCCCCCCCCCCCCCCCCCCCCCCCCCCCCCCCCCCCCCCCCCCCCCCCCCCCCCCCCCCCCCCCCCCCCCCCCCCCCCCCCCCCCCCCCCCCCCCCCCCCCCCCCCCCCCCCCCCCCCCCCCCCCCCCCCCCCCCCCCCCCCCCCCCCCCCCCCCCCCCCCCCCCCCCCCCCCCCCCCCCCCCCCCCCCCCCCCCCCCCCCCCCCCCCCCCCCCCCCCCCCCCCCCCCCCCCCCCCCCCCCCCCCCCCCCCCCCCCCCCCCCCCCCCACCCCCCCCCCCCCCCCCCCCCCCCCCCCCCCCCCCCCCCCCCCCCCCCCCCCCCCCCCCCCCCCCCCCCCCCCCCCCCCCCCCCCCCCCCCCCCCCCCCCCCCCCCCCCCCCCCCCCCCCCCCCCCCCCCCCCCCCCCCCCCCCCCCCCCCCCCCCCCCCCCCCCCCCCCCCCCCCCCCCCCCCCCCCCCCCCCCCCCCCCCCCCCCCCCCCCCCCCCCCCCCCCCCCCCCCCCCCCCCCCCCCCCCCCCCCCCCCCCCCCACCCCCCCCCCCCCCCCCCCCCCCCCCCCCCCCCCCCCCCCCCCCCCCCCCCCCCCCCCCCCCCCCCCCCCCCCCCCCCACCCCCCCCCCCCCCCCCCCCCCCCCCCCCCCCCCCCCCCCCCCCCCCCCCCCCCCCCCCCCCCCCCCCCCCCCCCCCCCCCCCCCCCCCCCCCCCCCCCCCCCCCCCCCCCCCCCCCCCCCCCCCCCCCCCCCCCCCCCCCCCCCCCCCCCCCCCCCCCCCCCCCCCCCCCCCCCCCCCCCCCCCCCCCCCCCCCCCCCCCCCCCCCCCCCCCCCCCCCCCCCCCCCCCCCCCCCCCCCCCCCCCCCCCCCCCCCCCCCCCCCCCCCCCCCCCCCCCCCCCCCCCCCCCCCCCCCCCCCCCCCCCCCCCCCCCCCCCCCCCCCCCCACCCCCCCCCCCCCCCCCCCCCCCCCCCCCCCCCCCCCCCCCCCCCCCCCCCCCCCCCCCCCCCCCCCCCCCCCCCCCCCCCCCCCCCCCCCCCCCCCCCCCCCCCCCCCCCCCCCCCCCCCCCCCCCCCCCCCCCCCCCCCCCCCCCCCCCCCCCCCCCCCCCCCCCCCCCCCCCCCCCCCCCCCCCCCCCCCCCCCCCCCCCCCCCCCCCCCCCCCCCCCCCCCCCCCCCCCCCCCCCCCCCCCCCCCCCCCCCCCCCCCCCCCCCCCCCCCCCCCCCCCCCCCCCCCCCCCCCCCCCCCCCCCCCCCCCCCCCCCCCCCCCCCCCCCCCCCCCCCCCCCCCCCCCCCCCCCAATGGTATTATCTCCAGTTCCATGAGCAAACATGAGGAATTTTAATATCCCAGCGATTGTTACCCTTCAGATAACATTTCCAGGTCCAATTTGACCAACAATTGAATTCCCTATGTGCCTGGTCATAAGAGCTCTGCTCCACACAACCAGATCTTGTATAGGACACCAACCTCCTTTTTGGGCTTGTGTACTCCCTCCCAATCTACTTTAGCTCAGTGGACTTTCTGATTCGTACTGCTCCGTCAAAAGATCTCAGAATTTGGTCCACCCTTTCAAGGACTTTCTTCAGAAGATTGAAGAGACCAGTAGATTTGCACCCTACGAAGAACAGATTCTACTAACTTCCGCCTGCCTGCTGTGATAGGACTTTGTTGAGCGAATTTTCCACCATTGATATTCAGAGCCTTGCAGTCTTATATGTCCAGAGCATCCAATTTACCAATGGAGCCACCATTCATATTTCTCTCTCTTTTTATGTTTGTATTTTTTCCTATCCATTTTCTTATTCTTAATATTGAATTCTCTTTGTACCACATTTTCTTTGCATTGGGAAAACGAAGTTGATCAGGTGATTGCATTCATCAAAATTGGATAGACTTTGGCCTTTACAGGATAGTCTGGGCTCAACTAGAAATAGAAACCACTTCGAAATCATAAGGTCACGAGTGTCTCATAGATTAGAGGATTTTTCCGTTTTATGATCAAATTCAGGATGATTAGTTATACTGGCTGCATAAGTCCCTATCCGGCCAAGAAAAAGAATAAAAAATAACGAGAATTAATTCATTTGGTATGTTTTCTGGTGCTTTACATGTGCTCCATTCTTACAGCTCTTTAGAACGGTTGCAATGTGTATCATGATTACTTAGCTTAGTTGGGCATATCCTTAATTCTGTCAAGACTCTTTCAACCAAGAGGTAAAAGGGTTTCTCATGCCTGCCTTTTTAGGTGTATAGCTTAGTTGGGTATATCCTTAATTCTGTCAAGATTCTTTCAACCAAGAGGTTCTTTTGGGGGCTGCTATTGTGCCTCTTTTACGGGCTCCTCTATCGTAGTCTTCACCTCTGTATGGATAAAATACTTGATTGTTTATTGTAATAGTGATCTATGTACATTCAAAAAGGTCTTGCTATTGAACTATACAGCCTGCATCTAATATCTGTTGGCTTTTGTAGCCTGCAGTTTATGTGGCAGAAAGTGTAGTCAGTTCAGGAACAGCAGGTTCTTCTGCTGATGGATCAGAGAACACAGTAGCAATTTTTGGTGGCCTCGCGCTAATATCTGTTGCTGCTGCCTCATTGGTACTGGTTCAAATTGGGAAGAACCCTCCTCAGATGCAGACGATGGAATACTCCGGGCCATCCCTCAGCTACTATATTAACAAGTTCAAGCCACCAGAGATCATCCAAGCTTCAGTGCCAACTGAAGCTGAAACCTCAACATCCATAGACTCAGAAATCTCTGCCCCAGTGGTAACTCAAGTTGAGGTTGAATCAGAGTATCAGCCAGAGGCTCCAACTTCAAGTTCTAACAACTCTTAGGCATTTGAAGTTGGCTGATTTTCTGGAATAGTGTATATTCAGTTTTGAGAATTTCTTTCATACAATTGATTATATATGGTGTTCAATGCAGCTTTGGACTATTGGTTTAGTTTGTATTTTTGTTTTCGTGGCAAGTTTATTTATCATACCGAGGATCCGCAGCCTGCCGTTGGACCGGTAGGTCGTGGGTTTGAACTTTACCAACCCATTTCCTCTAAACTTTGAAATAGAGACAAAAAAATAATAATTTATTTATCATACTAAAGCCTCTTTCTTGGAGGACGGACCTTAATGTAGCGGTAAGATTACTTTATTACGACATGAACAACATGGGTTCAAGTCATGAAAAGGACTTCTTTGTGGGTTAATAGTGTGTATATCGAACCACTCTCATCTCGTAGTGGTAGGATTCTCGTGTATCGGGTTTTCCTTTAATATTCACTTGTAAGTATCTATTAATATATTTATCTAGGAGTTTGTTATGTCTGGGGTGATATGTGTATTCTGTTTGATAACATTTTCTTAAAGTATGTTTACTTATGCAAAAATTATTTTGCAAGTGTGTTTTATATGAATCTGGTATATGAATAAAAAAGTGATATATATCTGTGATTAAATTGGAAGGAAGTGATATATATTTTTATTTTAAACTACATAAAAAATTCAAATGCATAAAAACATTATTAAATAATGCTTTTTTAAGGGTAATTTATTTATTTATTTTTCTACTCATTTTCCAAATTTCATCACTTGTATAGGAGAATGTATAAGAACATATAGAAGTGCATTTTTTTTGGGAAGACAGAGTTATGTATCAATTGTTCTATATAGCCATGAAATATAATTATATTTTTTTTTACAAAAATTACTTTTATTTTAAAAAATAATACTTAAACATGTTATTAATATCAAACGATTGTCTGGTTTGACAAAAGCAAGCATTAGTAAGTACATATCTTGGGTGTTATCACACCAATATTAATGCATTGGATCCCATCAGAATTCTATAATTAAGTGTGTTTGGGTGAGAGTCGTATTAGAATAAATGATCTCCCGGAAAGTTATCGTGTTGCACCTTATTATTGTTATTATTATTATTTTTAATAAAAAAAGTATAGTTTTCACTCTGATTGCTTGACGTTGTGATGAAAAGAAAGTATGGTGGGAATGGAAAGTGGTTTGCAAATCTAGTGATTAAAAGAGGTGAAAGTCTATGGTACTGATAGATGCATCGATATGGTGTCAACAAGTTATTGGCAGAGGATAAGAATTTAGATTTTCGCCCTTAATGCTTGAGTCCGAGTGTCTATAGTTACAGCAGTTCGTTGAAGATAAACTTATTCTCCAGCGCTTAGAGCATAAGGTGGAACCTTAGCTTCGACTTCAACGTAAGTGTGGTAGGGTCTCATGTAAATAGCTGTGTGGTGCTGAAGAGCAATACTCTATAGCAAATATGTAGAGTGATCTATATGTATATTCATTTTTTGCACAAAAAAAAAAAAGATGTATCGTACAAAAATTTTAATTTTATACGGTCAAGTTATACTTTTTTAGAGCGTAAGTTATAACTAGAAAATGACATGATCATTACAAAATGTTTTGATCGATAATAGAAATTACAACTTTTAAATGTTAAGTTATACGTTTTTATTTACTGGGTTATTCCATCATCAACGACAAAATTTTATTGTCGATAACAAATAACTTCAATCATCTATAACTTCATTTTGAAAAGGTATAATTTGGATAAAATTGTGGTGTCCAAATTTATTTATTAAAATTTTTATCCCAAATAATGTGGCAAAATTCTTTTTATTGAATATTTGGTGGAGTTGGTAGATTTCACTGATCCAACCACCTACGCTTATTTGGGATACAAAATTTAATAAATAATTTGATCAGTATAATATTGCTTGTATATTTTTATTATTAATATAGTAATTTTTGATACTATACCAAAAAGTAATATCCCTATTAAATTAAAAGAAAGTATAGTCAAGCAGACTCCATATCCAGCATTTTGGATGTAAGTACCCATCAACCATGCTATAGTTTTTTATTCTTTGACTAAAAGGAAGCAGCCACCATGCTTCCATGAAAAACCTCAACTATGAGACTACAACTACCATCAGAACTACACAAATATATTTTTTATTATTTTTCTTGGGGCGGGGAGGGGGGAAGGGGCGAACTCCACAAATATTAAATTAAACATCATGTTACGTCTAAAGTTTCTTTTTTGACTAGAATACTTTTATTTTGAATCTAATAGTCTTTCATTCATAAACTTTCTCTTTCACACTTGTCTTTTTTTTGAAAATTTGAGAGAGAATAATAATGAAAAGGGGGAGAAATTGCCGTGGTAAGGACAATATATAAGAATAATGTCGTTCTTCTATCTAAACCATGAAATTTATGCGACACCCAACGTAAGTGATGAGGCAACGATGAGCTCGGATCGATTCATATCGAATGATGTGACAAAAGGCGGGTGATAGAAATAAATTTCATTAAAAATGAAAATGTGAAGAAGGTGTTATAGCAAAGGAGCATAGACCCCACTCCAAGTTGCAGTGGGTGAACTATTCATCAAGTGAAGTCTCAATGGAAATTTCTTGGAGATGGCTTTGAAAAAGCAACACTGTTTCCACTTTTCAAAGGGCAAAATGACCTTGAAACTTCCTCTTCATTACCAAACCTGTCCCTTCTTACACCTCTATAAAAAGCTAGCAAATTGCCCATACAATGCACAATACCTGAACCCAATTACCCAGTTGGTGAGGCTGAAAGTTCTATTTCTATACCTCAATCAATACAATGGTTGTTTATGAGAAGAAGGTCATTGAAGAGGTGTCTGGTTGGCTTAGGGTCTTCAACGATGGCTCAGTTGACCGGACCTGGACCGGACCACCTGAGGTCAAGTTTATGGCTGACCCAGTGCCTCCCCACCATGATTTCAAGGATGGAGTTGCCACTCGTGATGTACTCGTCGATGTTGACTCGGGTCTCCGTGTTCGTGTTTATTTACCTAATAATCTTTCGTATTTGTCGCCTCTTTCTGACATGCATAAGCTACCCATCATTCTTCATTTTCATGGAGGTGGCTTTTGCATCAGTAAACCTGATTGGTACATGTACTATGATGTATACACTCGTCTCGCGCGTTCGGTCCAAGCCATTGTCGTCTCCGTTTACCTCCGTCTCGCCCCCGAGCACCGCCTCCCGGCTGCCTGTGAGGACGGTTACGCTGCCCTCCTTTGGCTTCAGTCCCTGGCTCAAGGTAATTCCTATGACCCATGGCTGAATGATCACGGTGACTTTAACCGTGTGTTCCTAATCGGAGATAGCTCCGGCGGTAACATAGTGCACGACGTTGCCGCACATGCCGGAAATGAAGACCTGAGCCCGTTGAGACTCGCCGGAGCAATCCCAATCCACCCGGGTTTCGTCCGTTCAGAACGGAGCAAATCGGAGATGGAACAATCTGAATCACCATTCTTAACACGAGACATGGTGGACAAGTTCTTGAACTTGGCATTGCCAGTGGGAAGTACAAAAGATCATCGTATAACGTGTCCGATGGGGAAAGCAGCGCCGCCAATCCACGGCCTGAAACTGCCGCCGATGCTGTTCTGCGTCGCCGGAAATGACCTGCTGCAAGACACTGAAATGGAATACTATGAAGCCTTGAAAAAGGGTAACAAGGATGTGGAGTTACTGATCAGCCATGGAATGGGTCACAGCTTCTATCTCAACAAAATTGCTGTGGACATGGACCCATTCACTGCTGCTGAAACTGGAAAGTTGATTGATGGAATCAAACAATTCATCAAGAAACATTAAGATGATTACCAGTCTAATTCTTGTTACAGCTTTACGGTGATTTTTTTATATGATTTATGACGGTTTCGTTATCTTTATATCTAAATGTTGCAGATTCATATTTATTTATAAAATTAAATTATCGTTTTTTCAATGAAAGCGTGTTTATTTTCAATAGTCTAATCTCCGCATTAAGGCAGTGCAAATTAATGGTTGTCAAAGCTATGACAAGGAGGAAGTTAGAAAATTTAAAGCTAGGCCAATAAGAATGTATATTTAATTTTCGGGATAGCGTAGGTAAACTCACATAAGGGTCTAAGACTCATCGCATCGATTCACATGAGGGTCTAAGACTTGTCGCATCGATTCACATGAGGGTCTAAGACTCGTCGCATCGATTCACATGAGGGTCTAAGACTCGTCGCATCGATTCATCCTATTACGTTTGTAGCGGTTTACTTATAATTTTTAAAGGACTTTGGGGGATCAAGTCAAAATATTTATGGAGTCAGTCCTCTTGTACATATGAACCACACAAGACATTTCATACTCCTTTTTTAATTTCACTGGGTCCCTCTAACATTGGGAATGGATTGTGAATGCTTTTCAAATAAGGTTGTTTGGACTGAAGTTACCAGTTGAACCAAATGAGAAACACAAACACAAAAAGGCAATGAAAACAAGACTGCATGGTATTACTCGTTTGCATAGATTTTCTCTAAAAAAAATTTCTAGTAGAATTATGCTCTTTTGACACTACATGTAAAAAAAACTACAAAAAGTTGGTAGAGGATTTCATCAATATACAATTAGTCCCACATAATTCACGGTATATGATTTGTTAAGAGAAAAAATAAATAAAAAAAGACATGTTACGTGGGATCTCACCCAGTGTCAAGAAGTCTAGGACTTTGAACTATATGGAGACCAAGGGGATCACGTCCCCTCATATTTTCAAAATTACCTATGATCTCGAGTATTTGAAAATCTTATGTTTTTTTTTAAATTTTTTTAAAAATGTTTATCTACAGTAAACATTTTTTTAGTATATTCAAGGACATTAATGATGTAACTTTAATAACCGAAAGATATACGAATACTTAGATGAGTTTGATGACCAAAAGAAAAAAAAAGAAAAAGAAAAAGAAAAGTATTCCAAAATTAAATTAGAAATGTGA